TTTGTGTTGTTTTTTTGTTTTCTTCTCCAAGACTAAAAGCCACGGCATCTCATACTTAACCTTTTATATCTTTTTGCATCAAATAATATGGTGGTGATGAAGTTATTTGAAATTTTTGCCAATCAAGAGAATTAATTGTTTTTTGTAGGGCCAAAACTTCACTCTTGCGCCAATAAATTTCATCCTCACAATGCCAAATTATTCTTTCAATATCATTTGTCATGCCATTATGTTGGCAACAGACGGTAGAATCATCGTCATAATATTGACAATCATTATACATGGAAGATGAGGCATTCGAATAATAATTCATACCCATTGGAACATTGCTACTCCACTAGTAGTTTGCATCCGTGGGTGCACAAGATGCAAACATGCCACTTGATGGCGTAATTTCTTGATATTTTGTTTGTGTCACGCCCCAAGCTCCGTGACAACGCCGCACACTCATTTAAGTGAGCATGCAAGGCTAAGAGTCCAATCACATAGCCCACAATGTAAAATATTCAAATTAAATCCTTAATTATCATAATGCTAAAATTCATAAAAATAAATAATTCTTATCATATGAAATTGTCCACCAAGTCCACTAATATAATCCACTAACAAAATAATAATCCAAATACTTAAATCATAGTCTTACTCTCGCCACTCCCCTGAGTAAAAACCCCGCGCAGCTCTACTCCTCAGAATCTGAAAAAAATAAATAAAATAAGGGTAAGCTAGATAGCCCAATAAATAACTAACCATCACTGCTAGTTGGATCAAGTATACAAAAAAAATAAATAGTCGATAACCATAAATACAATTTTTGCTACAATTCAATAAACGAACAATTATTTGTAAGATGGTTTCATAGTTAAAAATAAACAATGTACAATACATTTTAATTGAAAAGCCAACAAGATAATTCAAAGTAAATTCGTCCTTCAAATCGATGGTTCAATATTCAGATGGTTCAATGATTTGATTCACAAAACCCAAGTCTTGGTGACTACGGTCACTTAGCCCGTAACAAGGCCCAAAACCACACATAGGCCGGTGGTAAAGCCCCAAAAGAAACTAGTTTATGTGCCAATAAATAACCACTACTATAAAAACAGATAAAGATCACACTTTTTTTGTGTCATGTATGTTATTTAATCACACTTTTTAAGTTTTATTAAAGTGTGATATTTGAGAGTGTGATTAAAAAGGGTCATTTTTAATCACACTTTTTAAGTGTGCTTAATAACATTTAGATCACACCTTTTAAGTGTGATTAAAAATATTTAGATCACATCTTTTAAGTGTGATTAAAAATATTTAGATCACACCTTTTAAGTGTGATTAAAAATATTTTGATCACATCTTTTAAGTGTGATTAAAAATATTTAGATCACACCTTTTAAGTGTGATTAAAAATATTTAAATCACACCTTTAAAGTGTGATCTTTGGAAGTGTGATTAAAAAGGGTCATTTTTAATCACACTTTTTAAGTGTGATTAATAACATTTAGATCACATCTTTAAGTGTGATTAATAACTAATAAAATCTGTGATAAAAAAAAATTCAATATATTTGAAAAATAATCAATATTATTTTTATATGTACATTTGAAGAATGTAATACACACTATATACTATATTTTGAATCATAACCACATATTGAATAGAATAACGTCATATATTTCATAAATAAAAATTAAATATTCAAAAGCATATACAAAGAAATTAAATAAAAAAAATTAACTGTGCTTACATATATTAAAAAATGAAAAAACTTAAAAAACTAAGTTCTTCAATTCTTGGACCATATTCTGCATCTCTAAAAAATTTCTGACCTGAAAAATGAAAACACAAATTAATCCAGAAACCGCTGATGCATATGAATAAACTAAAAAGTTAATTCAGCAAACCAAAATAGAAACATTAATCATTTCTGCTTAATCTTAATCCTTTTGAAAATAACTTCCTTGTTAACAATTAGATGTCATAGCAGCTCAGTGTCAATGACATTGTAATTAGGAGGTCACTAATGAGCACAATATTTAAAAATGATAAATCTCAATACAGTTTGTGTACGATCTTTTTGTGAATGTATATTATTATTACTGTTGAACCATAATTCTAGGTACCCATAAATAAATAAATATAAACTCAAGAATTTACTCCATTTTTTTTTTGGTGGGGAGGGGGGGAGTACATACATTGCAGTTACTATCACCAGCAGCAGCACCAGCAGGTTTTGGAGATGCAGAGGCTGTATTTTCTTTTGCACCTTTGGAGGAAAAAGAAAAGAAAATAGTTACCCATTTCATGCATGTCTGTCTACCAAAGAATAAGTGCAAACACTAACAGCTGGCACAAGCGTATGAAAAATCATAAAAAAAATACATTATCATCTCAAAATACCTTGCCAAGAGTATGAAGTGTGTCAACATAGGACCAGTGGCTCAGGGAGGTAAATTATTTCATTGTTTTGGTGGATGTAATTAGAGAAGCAATTAAATGAATATGCATATGTGCATCAGCTTTGAGCATGTAAGTTATTGGTTGATATCTCACCCTCGCAAATTCCAATAGTTGAGACCAGGTGTCCCTAGAGATTGCTTTATTATGACGAGCCTGAATTGAGTTCCAACCAAACCAGAAAATTTGACATATATGTTAGATGGAAATCTGAAAAAGTCAAATGAAGGCAGATTCTAGGGAGTTCAACCAGTAATTTAACCAAACTTCAGCAACTCAATATGAACAAATTCACAAACATAATAAAGTAAATAATACCCTATTGGAAATCATGACAAGTTTCTTAGCAACCGAGAAAAGAGCGAGTAACCATACAAAAATTTTGTTAAAAACACTATTAATAAAACATGAAGAAATAGCGAGCAATGAACTAAATCATGGTTTTTTCCCCTTAAAAATTATATCATAAGATTTCCATACCTTTCGTATCTCTATGCAAACGGAAGCCGTTATAATCAAGCATAGTCACTAACATCATTAGCCTGGTGCATCACACACTTTCGTTTCATCAAGATTCATAAATTTGCCAACTCATATGTAGTTATTTGGGCTAAAATTCAAAGCTTTTGCTTGGAAGTTCATGCTGGACATATCACACTTCTGTAGCCATAGCCCCTCCAGGAGAGCTTGTCTCTCCAGTAACGGAAACTCAACATGAAGGGAGAAAACTAGAACCTTTCCCCACTCCAACAACCCCAAACCTTCTTACAGAGCCAATAGGTGGCCAATTTGTATGACATCAATAGACCAATGTGACGAGGAACATGAAAACATTGGATGAGCATAAATTAAAGATTATGGATTTACTTTAGTATTATTTTCTTATATATGATTTATTGGGTTTCATTTATTAAATTAGGATTTTCATATTGTAAATCCTATCGTAATGAGTATTTTTAGTAACTTCAATTAAGGTTTCGTAGGATGCCTATAAATAGGCTTCTATGTAATGAATTTGTCATATTTGAATTGATGTTGAAGAATAAGATTGAGCTTGGAGAATTGCTATTGTTCAGTTTCGTTATTTTCTTTTCTTTTTCTTTTGGTTTCAATTTTCTCTTCCATCCAGTATCACAATATTAACAAAAATCAGGAAATACTCGAGGAATATATGAATTAATGATTACCGAATACACATCACAAGTTAGGATAATTCACTAGCTCCCATGCAAATTTGTAGAAAATTTTAAAAAATTGCCAAATATATGTTCCATTAGGCTACCTGCAAGAACTGGCACCAGTGATCAACCAACGGCCACTGCTTTTCTTCAAAAAGCAACTGCCACATCCCGATTGCAGTATCCAATGCCAAAGATTTCTGACCCTGCGATTGACAAAGAAAATCAACAACTGCGGAGTATTCCACATATCCCAAAGTTGCAAAATATGAAATATCTATTTGACATCACCAGAAAAAGCATCCATTTCCAATTGCTCTTCGAAGAACCGATTATGATTTTCATTTGCAAACAGAAAGAAGAAACTAATTGCAGTCATGTCCTTTGAGGACCTAATCTGATGAGTTTGGGGGGGCATAGCCCACCAATTCATGCATTTGACGCTTTACATTACAGTAAAAAACACTGTCAATTATGTGATTAGACTAAGCCAAAATTGCAAAACAAAATTACTTCAACTCATGGTTTTAATCCTCTAGCGGTGCCTCCCATGCTTCTCCCACATTATAACTAAAGACCTCAACTGTTTTTTTAGAGGTTTCCATCTCCACTAAGTTCTTCACACGGCCCTTCCTCACTAAGCTAAGGAGGAAACAATCAAATAGAGCATTAAAGAAACTACATACAACTAATACAATTCAAGAAAAGCAAGCATTATCAACACCTATCAGTGAGTTGCAAACTCAAAAACTCTAGCCAGTTAAAGTTTATGTAAACATTAAATAGTTAGGTTTCCTTTAAAAGAATAGCATCCAAGGCAGAGATTCACCTATGAAGCACAAATACCTTTAGAAGAGTGTCATATCGATATTGAACACCCATACTCCTTGCCTAGCTTATGATAAATTTAATGTTATGACAGGCATACGATATACCTGACTTTTTTTAGAATTCTTCATATCAACGTATTCCTATCGAGTCATACCTTTATCCCTATCATGTATACGTGTCTATGTTTCACAGAGAGATCCACCATGTTGAAAGAATCAATGCTATTTTTTTTTTATAAATAATTACACTGAATACACCATAAGAAAAACAGATCACCTGGAACACATGCACACTGGGTTTGACTTGCCAGAAGAGAAGAATATCATGGTTCTCCACCCATTCATCTACAACAACCAACAATGAAATGTCAGATCCCAAAAACAAGAACAAACAGATACCCTAAAATTTGTACAAAATAAACACGAACCCGTGTCACAAACGCAGATCCTTTGTACGTTTTCCACCAGGAATGAATCGTCTAGAGGCACTGGAACTGGGCCATCTATATAGCTCAAACTCCTCTTTTCAAGCATTCTATACAGCAATAGAATCAAAATCTTAAAAACCCATTTAGCCAAACATACAGTGTTTGGATCTTGGGAAAAGAAAATGAAAATAAATAAATAAAATCTTCTCTTATCCATTTCTTGAGGATTAACAATAACAATTACACAAACCCAATTGTGACTAATAATTATATATAATAAAAAAAACAAAACCCATAGATTTCAATGACAAATCAATAACTAAATATGAAGCAATATTAGTGCCAAACGGGAGGTCATCGTTCATGCCTGAAGCCAATAGTGAACACTCACGAACCGAGGACAACCAAGTCGTTAAAAACTCACTCTTTCTCCATATGAAATCAATAATGAACACATGCACTGAGTTCAACCAAGTCCTTAAAAAAATACTCTTTCTCCATATGAAATCAACAAAAAGCCATAAAAAAATCAAACCCTGTCATTGTCTATCAAAAGCCCCCAAAATTCAAGCATCTAGCTACAAAATACAATGAATAATCCTTATCCTAACAATTGGGAAACCAATAAGCCATTAATTTGTAGTTCATTTACTAGATAACTAATAATTCTATCAAGAGAAACCAAAGGAATCTTGATATATAATGTAAACGCAAATCCGATTTCATTAATATATATGTCGATATTGGAACAATGCTTGAAAGCTTTTGAAATATATTTAGTCAATAATTCAGCAATATAAACCAATAGAGTAATAACCTGCTTGAGTATATTCATCAATAAGAGAATGAGGAACTGAAACAGAAGTTTAAGATCTAGTAAAGTGAAAGAGAAGGAAACTACAGTATGCACCTTGTAGCAATTGATGGACAAAAAAATAGGAAATAGTGAGAAAAGAGCTCTATAGATCATCAAAAGTCACTAAGCATGCACTTCTGATCTTGTAGACATTATCATAATGCTAGAGCTTAGAGACATCGTCATTCACTCTTATATGGCAAGCGATGAGAGGCAACAATAAGATCTAGCCAGTGTCAACCACGACAAGGTTGAATTGCAACACTGCATGTTACACCTGCATCCTATTTCACTAGGAAAGACAGCTCCTCAATCAAAGTGATTTTATTCCATTCAGTTAAAGACAACGTGCAGCAAACACCCTTTCCATCCATCTCAAGTATTCCAAACCAAACCAAACCAAACCAATTCAGCATATTTATGGCAAAAGAAAAAAGTAACTTAAAATATATAGCAAATTTAGCACAGAGTCTTGCTTACCTATGTGATCCAATTGGAATGTTTGAGATAGAAAACTTATCTATGCTATTGTAAGTTAAATTAGAATGCTCCAAAGATCCATTGGTATAATTAACTGGCACCAAGACTGTGAAAGCAAGGAATGCAATAGGAACAAAAAAATTTAAGATATTTATATCCCGTGTACAATAGGCTTGAAGCAAAAAAGAGGTTGGAATGGCATATTTTCAAGGTTAGCATATTCCTTTACTTACAATATTGCAAACAACAACCCGTAAACAACTTCAGTTTGAAACAAAAAAGAGGCTAGAATGGCAGAGTGAACCTCAATTAAATTATGAAACAGGAGACCGGAAAAGTAGGAGCTAAGCAAACACAACCGAAACAGATGTAGCACAAAAGTTGTGCAACTATGGAAAGCCCTTCAGTCAAACATAAACTGAATATAAATCAAGTGAAAGAGACAACAGGCTTGAATGAATTGCAATCCACATTGAAATCGTGGGGAATTTTAGTTGGAAAAGTCAATAAATGAATTACAATCTATTCCAGTCAATAAATGTATTTCTTCTATGAGCAATTTTAGTTGGAATAGTCAACCACATTCTTTTTCTTTCTTTTATTTTCTTCCCCCTCTCTCTTTTCCAAATACAAAAAAGGGGGCATTGTCCAAGGCCCATCTCAGTTGCAGGTCTGTAAATAACCAATATGACACTATAATATTTAAACTTAGTTCATCTAGACTACAATATGGAACAACTGTGGAGTTATTGGTAGGACGGTATATAAATGCATATATGCACATATATATATAGAGTATACATGTCAAGAGACAATTTTTTGGGGGACTACCCATCCCCGACCCATTCCCTGATGGAGAATTAAATTAGATCACCTACTGACCTGATGCATAGAGAAATTGGGAAAACCCACATATTTTAGGTAGGGTCTCCATAGATAACCATTGGGTATGGTTTTTATTGCCATCCCTAGCGCATTGCATTCAAGTTGTCTATACTCCATCGACATAAAGCATCCTAAAACAAGAGAACTACAAAGATCTACTTTCAAAATAAAGAGAGATCTAACCAACATTATTGTTGAAATCTTTCTACAAATCATCAATAAAACCATGCATTTCAATACACCCTTCTGATAAAGACAATAAATCTCCTCAGTTGACATTACAAAATTTTAGCAATCAAGATAAATTATCACATACCCACATCACAAGAGTACCGAAAAAAGACAAATATTCAATACCCACAAAGCAATTTCACAAAATACTAATAAATTACAAACACCCAATAGTGCATAACATCAGATATTGCATATAAAATGTGAAAACCAAAGAATAACTCAACAAAAGAACAAATCGAGGTATTAATGACCCAAAATCAACAATCACAATATGATCAAATCAAAGTCTAATGTGTTCTTACCAAATACATGAATCGACCATAAAGTGGAATTGGCTGAAGAGAGTAAGAAGATAGATCTGAATATGGGTTTAGAGTTTCGCCTACTCTTCTTCTTTTTTGGTCTCAAATATGAGTGGAACTTCAAGGTGAATCCTACTCACTGAAGAAAGTTAATTACAAGAAATATCCCTAAAAAATAGTTCAGGTGCACTCTTTATCAATATTAATTCAAAGGGATTAGGTCTCTCCCCTAAAATTCTGCTGTAACATTATCAAAAACAAAAACAAAAAAAAATTAATAATAATAATTATTATATTGTATTCTGATTCTGCTATATCAAGGCTTATTCAGCTGTGACCTCTCACCCAATTATCTTTGACATCTCATGATCAGGATGTAATTGTAATTTATCAAAAAATGCAGTACAAACAATAGCTACCTTAGATTTCTTTTCCCCTTTTTTGCAATGTATCAAGGCTTATTCAGCCATGACCTCTCACCCAACTACCTTTGACATCTCATGATCAGCATGTAATTGTAATGTATCAAAAAGTGCAGTGCAAACAATATTTATCTTAGATTTCTTTTCCCCTTTTTTTGCAATTCTAGCCAAACAAATTAGCAAGTTACAAAAATATTACATCATATTCACCTGGGAAGCATATAAAACTTTCCAAAAACCAAAATTTAAAAACCACTACATTAGAAAAAAGATGAGGTACTGAAACAAATTTGAATTAAATATGTAATACCATTTTCCTCCAAAAGTAAACCAATACCATCAGCAAAGTAACCACATATAGTTTGAGGCAAAGCACATGTCTACTCTAGGAAAACCATCAAGTTAAGGAATCATACACTGAGTACACATTGCTATTACAGCTTACTCAAGAAAATTGTGAGAAGAGATGTATTAGATGATTTCAGTGCAACTAGACAAATCAACGAATAAATGGGAATAAGTGATCATACCAGTTGCAATTCTTCTGCATCAACCAAAACAATCTGTGATAGCTCTTGAAGTAGCTCCATATCCAAGAAAACACTTGTGTTGTCAATTATAGGAATAGTGCCCTGCCAACTATCAAAGCCAGACCTTCTACACAATACATCAGTGGAGAAAATGCAACAAGCAGCTGAATTTGTGAGTGGAAATGATTGCTTAGTGGTCTGTATAACAGCTTGCAACTTTTGCTTTTCATGTTCAAACCTTCTCAAAAGCATCTAGAAAAGCTCATTTGAGTTCAACTAGAAAGGTAAACAAGCCACCCTCAAACAAATTTTGAAACTAGTTAAGTTTTCAAATCAAATTTGAATAACTTGCAATTCAACTAACATACAATCTTATATCAATGTCATAAGGATTACTCTATATTTTCTCATGATATCTTTATTGAGGACCTATCAATTTCTTCACCTAAAGGTGTTTTCGAAATTAATAAAGACCCAAAAAAATTTCAAGAAAGTGTACAAAATGTTGGAAATTAATAAAGACCTAAAAAAATTTAAAAAAAAATTCTCGTTTTGTAAATTTTTCAAAATTGTGTCAAACTAAAAACAATATGAAAATGATAGATGTTTTCTAACTCTACTTCTACCATTTTTTTCACTGAGATGTGTATCATTTGTGTATTCAAGGGGGTATTGTTGAGATGAGATGTGCTCTTATGCCATATGTGCTGTTAGTACTGTTGCTATTTCTATTAACTACCATTATAGAAATGTTATATCCTGTGTCGGTTGTGGCATCACTGTCTAATTCAAGGATTCTAAAGAATTCCAGATAAATCTTTTTGGCAAATAAACTGTGGATGACTCTGTGTTTTGGGTAACACCTTATTTATCAAAAATGTTTACAAAGCTTTTAAGTTTTTGAATGGAAAATGCAGGAGTTATTCCGAAACGTTAACGTTGAAAATTTAAACATCTTTGGGAAATGCCTCTCGAACAAGAAAATGTTTTCGTATTATCTACTTTAAGATTTGCTTTAATCGTGTTGTTGAGTAGTGACATAGCTTGAAGCACTAGTCGGTTATTGGTGAATTGTTTTGGGAGAGGTTTGGTTTGTTGAGGCTTACGTACCTAAGGTATTGTCGTTTAGAATGTGTTCCCTTGGTTAGTCTCTTCCTTGGTAAGAGTGAGTACCTTCGTGGTAAGTAACGTTGCAATAAAATTCATAAAATAATACTATAATTACCGCATTTGATATACTATCTCAACCAAATTGTTATAGGTATTGGACCTGCCATTACTCTTATTTTAGGAAAATAACAGTCAGTTTATTAGTTCTCATTTGGAGTATCGTTATATCTTATCAATTTTTTTTATTATTTTAATGAATTTTTTTTATTTGGTAGAAGTAGAGGTAATATTTTAATAAAAAATATTGTTTGTTAAAATAAAATTAATTTTTTATGGTCAATAAAA